TGAGATGCTCACACACAGAACTGTGTATCCCTAATATTTATAAATATACAGCCACAGCCTCAGTTAAGAAAAGAAACCCACGTTGGTAGAGCTAATGTGATTGAAAGAGACATTTGAACTCTCCATAATGCAGGACAGATACTTTCATCTGAAGAACCCTGGAGTTTTGTTTCAGGCTTACTAAGCAAATGAAACAGAAATTAACACCTTGCATAAATATCTTATTGTCTAGGAAGGTAGAGAATCTTTTAAATTTCGGGTTCATCTATGGGTTACAGGATTTTTGCCCCCTCCTCATTATACAGGCTTTGAACTTTAGAACTGCAGCTGACCTTTAGAACTACTCCCCTCCGTTTATAGATGAGAAGACAAAAGCTCAGAGTTGTTTACTAACTTACCCAAGGTCACACAGCTTGCCAGTGGGGAGACCATACTTGAATAGCAAGGCTTCTTATTAGTTAAGTGGCAAGACTTCTCTTTTGAAATCATAGAAAGAGCTTCTTCTTTTCCTTGCTACCAATAATTAAATAAAAACAATGCTGTGGAAATAGGAACAGGATGGGATTGTGTTGTGAACAAAGGATAAATTATAAAGTAAATAAAGCGTATTATTTTTGGGGGAAATGAGACTGCTTTTCTCCACCAAGTGCCCTCAGGTATATATATGAAATTGATGTCTTCTCATCCTTCTACTCTTTCTCTTTTCTGTGGCATTTTAAAGTAACAAGGAAACTGAGATTTAGTGGGTTTCAAACCCAGTTCCAGGAAGTCCTGATGTTCTTACAGAGAAGCCCCATCAGAGAGGAGGGGAGCGACTTCATGGCGGGGATACTGCACTGATTCTGGTCACCCTCCGTCCCCACACCCAAGAAGAGCTCCACTTTTAGCTGCTTTGCCCATTGGAGTTCTGGATAGAGTTCTGATCAAGGAAAACACAAACACTTCTAAAAATAACTTTGAAAACTACACACTTAATTCAATCCTCTCAATGAATTACAGTTTAGGAAGCTGAGACACAGGAAGGTCACAGGGAGTTGAGAGTCCACGTGCTGCATCCCCTCTTCTTGCTAATGTCAGCCCCCCCCCCCCTAGTAATCTGGTCCCCTTACCCCAGACCCACCTTTGACATCACCTGACTCTCCAATCCCCTATCCAGCCAGCCTAAGTTTCCTGTTTTTGCCAAGGACTTTTACTTTCAGTTCAGCTAAAATGAGTGATCTGATTCTTCTACTGTGGGACAGCCCACAGCCTGTTGCCTGGTGTCACCTGGTGTCTCTGGCCATGGCGAAGTAAGCCATTGTAATCTGATTATTTTCAAGTCCTGGCCATCCAGTGTTTCTTTAAAACAACTCCAGCTGAATCTCCTTAGGAGGCAGACCAGATTTTTAAAGAAGATCTGTTACTCCTTCTTAATAACTACTTCCCAAATATCATATATTGCGAAGGAACCAGTGCTTCGTCTTAAATTGGGTTCTATGGGAGGGTGAGTTCTTTCTGAAACTGGCCTTAGAATTGTAAGTGGATGGGTCCTGAATCCCTTTACCTGATCCCGGGCCAGGTTACCCCTAGGCAGCATCAGATGGTGCGTAGCTCACCAGCAAACAAGGGCATGTGAGAAATACAAACAAAAAAAGAGAAAGATAGGAAGGTCAGAAATAATCTGACCTTTTATATGTCAAATTAAAACACCTAAGTAGTCATTATGGGGGAAAAATCAAACCTTTGTGACTTTAGAACTTAGCATCCCCTTGATTTCAAATTATGTCTAGAGGTGTCACTTGAATCCTTTCATCCCTGGGCCTCTTTATCTGACCTGACCTGGCCCATCCCTTACGTCTCCTTCCCAGATGTAGGAGAAAACCCGCTCTGAACCGTCCAGGCCTGGGTTTGCCTACTTCTCTTTGGGAAGTGAATTTGCCCCAGGTGAGAGGCTTTCACAAAATAGAGAAAGAAGTCAGTCGCTTGTCAACTTGCCAAACAGGCTCAGTAGCTAAAAATTCAACAGGGTCAGCTTCCCTTCTGTATGTGGAGATTGGCCTAAAGGCATTTGCCCTTGAGTTCAGCCCCCTTTGGCTGGGCTGGACTCCTCTGAAACATGATAGAGAGCGCTTATGCTCCCAAGCCCTGGATGGTGTAGCTCTTCAGAAAAAAAGTCTAGCTCATTTCTATGGGGAGCATGTTTGTATTTTCAGAAATGGAAGGGTTCCCAAACCTGGAAATGAAAGATCAGTGATTAAGAGGAAGTGTAGAAGGATTAAGCGTGTTTTCCTTACAATTTTTACTGATGAGAGATTTCAAGAATTCAGTTCTCTCCAAGCAAAATAGAGACAGAAATTCTAGTATTTATCTTGGTGGATATATGTCTGTGCAAATGATGTGTGATATTTTATGAGAGGGTGTGAAAGTGTGTACAGGACTAAAGTGTGAATTTCTAATATGTATACGTACCGGATATGTGCTCGATATCTGTGTTTGTGTGTGTTTCTGAGTGTGAGTGCCATCCAAACACGAGTGTGAGTTTATAAATGTTTGGATATTGAAATGCTTAACAACACGCAAGCAAAGCAGATGTTTTAATGAGTTCTTAAATATTTTAATAAGTGCCTTGATTTTCTTCAGATAAAGAAAGAACAGGAAAAAAGAAAGGGGTTACTCCTTTTTCCTTTGGCTAAGTGAGTTTTAACAGCCGAAAATGCAGACTGTCTGCTATGGGATATATATAGTTTAATTTTTTTTTAAGTGAGGAAATGATGACTCCTGGTGTGGGTGAGAAATGAAACCTTCCTATGAGGAAGTTTCCTGTCTTTATTGCTGATTATGTGTGCCTGGTCTAATGACTAAAAGCTTAAACTTGGGGGGGTGGGGTGGAGGGGGCAGGGAACTGAGGGAGAGGAGTTCTTTCAAGAGTAATTGGAGGGAAGCAGGGAAGGGATAAAGAAGGAGGGAAGGAGTTTGGATGACTTGGTTATGAGACAGGAGCTCAGCTCAGATTCCATCTGCTGAGTTCCAAGGTGAAAAATGTGGTTTGGGGTGAGTTGGTGGCAAGGCTGCAGTTTTCAGCAAAACAGCTGGCAGAGGAGCTGTACCCAGCAGAACGTTTCCTCTCCCGTTAGCTTGGTCCGAGCAGCTGGTGATCCAAATCCCCACACCTCCACCTTTTCAGAGGGCCACCCCTCTCAGCCCTATTTCGCGCCCACGAACCAGGAGCAACGGGCCACAGTTTGACTTGCTGGAAGTCGTTGGGTGCCCAGCATGGCGGAGTGGTGTGGACCCCTGGAAAGACTGCGGGACTAGCCGCAGAGGAACGGGTGGCACCCGGCTTAACTGCTGGCCTCATCTCTGTCTGGGCGGGGAGGCTGGGTCCATTGTCCTCCTGGACTGGGGAGGGTGCGGGGTCATTAGTTAGAGGATGATGTGGTCTCTGCAAACCAGAGGAAATGGCCTGCTTTTGTTTTCCACCCAGTAGGAAATGGAACCTGAATCCATTAGATTCTGGGCAGTTCAACGCGGCACAGTTTGAGCTCTTAGAGGCGTGATGCCTAAAAGGCTACTTGTGTGGATTTGTGTGTCCCAACCATCACTGCACAGTGTGCCCATCTTTTATGCGTTTAAAGCCTGTCAGGCTGGTAATCTAAAGCAGAGGTCTGGACGACAGTAATGCCAACAGACACGGGGAATAGGAGAGTGCACCTGTAGAGTTAAAAAATGCATGACCCTTTCCCTCAAAGAGCGAGCACAGGAGAAAGCCCCGTCCTGTAGGGTAGCCGCTGAGCCAGAATGCATAATTCACGGACCCCGTGCTGCTCCATGCAGATGGCGATATTAAATCGTGATTGATGCTAAGAGAGGCACACATCTTAGGAAGTTCTCCTAGAGGCTTCTGAATATTTCCAGGTCTCTTGTGCCTTCCCATCTTCTGTTCTACCGTGGTATTGAGCCAAACCCCTCCATTTCCCAGGAACCCCTCCTGGGGATGACAGAGCTTCACTCCCAAATATGAGATGCTTCAAATGTCATCACCCACCTCTTCTGCCTTTGAAGATCGCCCCCTTCCCTCCTGGCCCACATGAAGCTGTTTACCTCCAGCTGGGCACTGCTGAGGGGGAGGGGAGCAGCTACTCCCCTGCAGCCTCCTTTCCAAGGCTGGTCACCACTGGACAAAGCAGCAGCACACTCTGGTGGTGGTGACCAGGCAGGAGGGACAGCGGCAAAAAGCTTGCAGAAAACACAGGCGTCCACTCAACACAAAGCACTTTTGTCAAAACTCTGAGGTCAGAGCCAGTGGATTCTCTAATGCAGATTTTTCCACTCAGTGTATAATGAAATAAAAAATCAAATTTGTGGTGTATTTGGAATTAAGTGTTTGGGGGCTTTTGCTTTTTCTTTCTTAAAAAAAAAAAAAAAAAAAAGCTGAAATCACCCTCCAGGGTCTGTTCTGGCCCAAAACTGAAAATGCTTCCTCCGCATCACATATAATTGTTACCAGGCTCACTTGTGGGTCGGCACCACAAAACCACTATTGTCAGTTCCCGGAGTCTTTACTTCTGGCTCCCTGGGCTGGGCTGGGGAACACCAAATAACACGAAGGATTTATGAGATAAAGATAGAGATGCGAGGTTTGAACGAGGAGAAGAAGATGGGCCAAGCAGGGGAGACAGGAACAGGCAGGGAGGCACGTTAAGTTTTCAGTTTTGTTGTTTTTTTAAAAATCTCAGACCATGTAATTGGGAATATTTATGAGCATTTTCTGGAATATTTTCGTTTGGCAAGAGTGTGTGTGCGTGCGCGCGCGCGTGTGTGGTTGGGTGAGTGGGGGTAGGATGAGCTGAAATAATCTCTTCCACTGAATGAGTAAGTAGGTTAGTCTTCTGGACTGCCATAAAAGGTCTGTAAAACTGTTTTAATCAGCCACTGGTAGAGAGGAGAAACAAGGAAAGGAAAAAAAAAAAACAGACTGTAACATATTTGAAGTTCTTTGCTTCGTGTGTCTTCTCTTCCAGACCAACCCTGTGGAGGTCGTTTGAATTCCAAAGACGCTGGCTATATCACCTCCCCGGGGTACCCCCAGGATTATCCATCCCACCAGAACTGTGAGTGGATTGTTTATGCCCCCGAACCCAACCAGAAGATTGTCCTCAACTTCAACCCTCACTTCGAAATCGAGAAGCACGACTGCAAGTAAGCACCATCCTGTGCCACGTACATCCACGAGACACACACCCCCCACCCGCTCCCCAGGCTTCTGCCATACCTGCCGCCTCGTGGCAGCTCCCCTGGCCCTAGGACCTGCTGAACAGTGGTGATCCTGGCCCCAGAGGGAAACCTCAAGAGATTTATTTCTTTCAGTGGAAATAAAAGCCTAGTTGATCCCATAGTATGGAGGAAAGCGCCTTCCTGAGTGAAGAGTGTAAAGAATACATCCTAAATTCAAAGGCTGGCAGTGGAGGAGAATTCCACGTAGGGGCGGGGGGGGGTGGAATACACAATGCCAGCTCTTGACTTTAAGATTGACTTTCCCCTTGGAGATCTCCCCATTTCCACTGCCTCTCCCACATGTAGGAACCCCAGCAGCTTCCTTCAATAAAACAGTAGCCAGATTCCCCAAGTGGAGACTTCCTGTGTATCCAGCCGTGGAGAATCAGGCTGCTATTTTAGGAAGCAGCGGCAGGTTTCCTTATAGAGAGGGAGCTAAACAGCTGAGTCTATACTGGTAGGTCTGAGATTCGCATTGATTCTTGGTATCCGTGCTGTACAGGTTAGAGTCTCAAAGCAGGTGCTATGGATTTATTTAACAAACACTCTTCTAATTGCTTTGTAAATATCAATCCATTCAGTTCTCACAATGGCCCTGGGAAGTTGGTGCCTCCATGTTGCAGATGAGAAAACCAAAGCCCAGAGAAGTTAACTCACCCGAGGTGACTCAGCTGGGCTCACAACATTGGTCCTGCCATCTTGGAAATGTGTGGCTTAGGAGAGACCAAGCAGACATTTAGACATCTGTGAGTGCTTTATAAATGCCATGTTGGGACTTCCCTGGTAGTCCAGTGGCTAAGACTCTGCGCTCCCAATTCAGGGAACACGTGTTCCATCCCTGGTCAGGGAACTAGATCCCACAGGCCACAACTAAGAGTTTACATGCCACCACGAAGACCCAGCACGGCCAAATAAATAAATAAATAATTTTTTTTTAAAAAAAAAGGAAGAAAAAAGAAACACCATGTTAACACCAAGGTCCCTATAAGTTAAGGTGAGGGAGGAAGCAGCATTGCAATGTCAAGAGTGTGAATGCCCTTTGTACTGTCTAGTGGGCTCCATCGTAAAGTCTTTCCTCGCTGAAACCAAAGTGAGAGTTTTCTATACGGGATAGAATGTGCCAACGATCGTGTCCTGCTCCAGATGAGTGCCTAGAACATGCCACTGCTCTGATGGGTGTTCAGTGGCCCCTTATGATGAATAAATAGTCTGAGCATTCCTTGTGAGCAAAGCATTGTGAAGGCTGAAAAATTACTAAAGGGATCAGCTAGCAGGAGACGTACAAGGGAGCAGGTCTAGGTCTGGGCCTGGCTACCTTGTGGAGGAGAACAAGGCTCCTCTTTAACCAGAGTTCGATCGGGAGGCACAGTGAATCCATGTCATTGTTATCCTCCTAGGACTCCTTTGCACCTTCATAATGGTTTGTTCCTAACAAGAGGTAGTCTTTGTTGAAAACCGAAGGGTTTCCCGGGTGGACGCCTCATGTGACAGAGAGTCATAAGACGGAGTTATAATCCCAGATCCACTCTTGACTCCGTGGATGACACAGGGTAACTAATCAGTTCCTCTTTGTCTAAGTGAAATGCACAGCCTGTGTATATTTGCACAGCACCTCAAGGCTGCCAATTCCCTGCCAGTGAACTTTACCAAAAATTTCTGTTAGAAGAGCTTCTTTATAAGGTATAAGCTTCTGGTGCCTCTGGCTGGGTTACAGAAGGTTGGCACAGACTGAAGCGTGATGTACTGAGAGCTTGGGTCTGAGCTCAGAGAACTTTGACTAATCACCTGTCTCAACAGAGGGCCAAAATCTGTTATGCTTATGCCAGCAAATCTCCCAGGAAAATTGCTGAGAGGTCATCTCATGTATATTCATAGGGGCAGAGAGAGAAGGCATGGCTTTGGGAAGGGAAAACTCAGGAACTGGGGAGCATGACTTAAAACATGTTGGAAGCACACAAGGCCAGGGAAGCATGTTCCTGCCCAGTTTGGGGCTGTGGCGTACCCCTTGCCCTCCGGACTCAGCCCCAGGGATGGAGCGAGCGCAAGGTCTCTGAAGCCACTGGGAACAGAGGAACCAAGACGTTGCCTCTGGCTGGAGTTGGAGTAGGGGAAGCAGGTAAGGTACAAGGTTATGCTGAAGCTTCTGGTGCTTACCGTCAGTACCGAGAAGCTTCCTGTTTTTCTCCCCACTCCCCCAATTCCATGCTTCCAGCGTGAACTGAAAAGTTCAGGGAGGTCAGAAAAAGATCCTTCTGGAGTCTCCTTGCCCCAGTGCCAAAGTGTCAGCAAGACGCTGTTGGGGTCACGCCTCTGCTACTTAACCTCATCCTTACTTCTCTTAGCCTCCCCCATTTCTCCTCCACTCCCCATTTCTCTCTCATTCTCATTAATTTCTCTACTTAGAAAGACACATCCGGTTCTCTCCATCTCTCACCCTGCAAGGTATTTTTAACAGTCTTCACTGCCACCTGCATTCAGGGTTAAATGGGTTCCTCCTCCCCCACTGCCTTGTTTCACTTTCTTGTGAAGGGGACAGTCCTGAAGATTCTGTCCTGTTTCTCTTCTCTCCCGCTCTCATTTTCCTTCCAAGGGAGCTCCCGGGTTGGAAAGCACTTACTATCAGAGGAAATTAGCATCCTTTCTCTTTTCGTTTCGGTGCATGTTTCCAATTGGGTTTGGCTCTCAAGGCCCGCAGGGTAGACACGTACCAAGAGAAAACGGCCCAAAGGGCCTTCCGAGGAGAGCATGCAGCAGCAACATTCCCTGCAAAACGAAATATGAGTAAGAACGTCAGGGGAAAAAAAAAACAACCAGCCCTGCTGTGCAAAAAAGGGCAGTGGTCAGCATGCCTGCCCTTTTCTGTTTTCCCCTCTTCTTCCTTTGTGCAGGATTAACTGCAAAGATGGCCCCATGACCTGGGCATGGGCCCTGCTATGAGAGGATTAGCCTGGCTGGTGGCCCCTAAGCCTTTGGCGGCTTGTCCCTCGAAATCCACATCCTAAAGGTGGAGCCCGTGGGTGAATAAACCCCAGACAGACAGACCTTTTCCCCTAACCGTCGCTTGCTAATTTTGTTCCATTTAAGTCTGCCGTCTGCTTGGAAACTTTCACTCACCAGCCCCGGTTTTGCCTGAGTCAGTACAGTCCGAGGCCACCATCTGCAGTGAGCTCCCAACTCCTCCCTCTGGCCGTCCGCAGGAATCCAAGCCCCAGCACCCACAGGCTGCTCTGAGGCCTAGTCACCGACTGCAGGCAGAAACCAGAAACCCCTGTGGACAAAAGGGCAGGACTCAGGGCCATCTGAGCAAACAGGGAGAAGCCACTTCATTCCCCGCGGTGGGCAGGAGGACCGTGCTACTGCCTTTCACTTGAGTCATCAGACAAGTGCCTGAACCTTAGGGCTTTAGAAGCACATGCATGCAAACCTGAGTATTCTTTTTTCCCTTTCTGAGATCTAAAGTGTATGTATTCTTGAAAACACCCACCTGTGTAGGATACACAGCTTATTCACGAGCCCTCGCACAAGCCTAGCGTCCCAGCCCATCCCGGAGGCCCAAAGAAAACCAGAATCAAGAGTCTAGGTCCTTTTAAGAACTGGTTATTTCCAGATGGATATCTTGAAAAACATGCTTCAGAAAGTGCGAAAACCACTAGGAAGACTTGACAGAACATTTCTTAGGCTGAAAAACCCACACAGAGACCTATACTGATAATTTGATGTGTATGTTCAGCACAATGAATCTCATTTACCATGCCTCATTGAAATTTCCAGATTCTAAAACATACTCCTCTAAAGTTGCAAAAGTTCCTCTTTAGAAAGACTTCTGATTAAGAACATTCTAAGTCATGTGCCGTGCTTCCTTGTCTTCTTCAACAAAATTAATGCTAAGGTGAGTCAACTTTTCCTCAATGATTCAGGCTTCTAATTCTAAACTTGACAGAGGCTGGGTAATTTCATGTTTGGGTCAGATAGATCTAGATATGAGTTTTTGTTGACATTTTAAACTTCCCAGGCCTCAGTGTCGTCATCTGCAAAACTTTGACAATGGTAACTACTTTGCAAGATTTCAGTCTCTTGTTTACGTAGATACACAATAAATTCGCAACTGGGTTAGCGTCTTTGTACGTTGGGGGAATGTGTGACTTTTTTCTATCGATACTCTTGCTGTCATCTTCTGTTATGAGTATACCCCTCTGACCTCTTTTTACCCTTTTATTGTGGGTATGGATTTTGCTTCAGGAGGTTTCGGTGTCTGTTGGGAAGTGTTTAGTCCTGGGGTCTGAGCTATCGTCCCAGGCCAGTGCAGTCCCAGGGCCAGCATGTCTGCTTTGCTTTAGTCAGCCACGCTCACAGCAGGGTGCGTACTAGGGTGGTCTCCCGGGGACAGAGTGTGAGAGCATCAGTGCATGGAGTCCTCGGCATTAGTTGAGCTGCTCACCATCTTTTCTTCTGAAACTATCCCCCCACCCCGCCCCACCCACATTCTGGATATTTGAGGTTTGGGGGGATGTTGGGCCTCTAGCTAGGTGTGCTGGGTAAACAAAGCGCCCTTGTGTTTATTTACGGCCAGAGGAGCTCTCTAAATCTCAGAAGATGCGTGTGCTTCTCCCAAAGTAGGGGATGCTATCTTAGGAAGGGGGCACTTTCCCGGGTTGATAAGTTGACTACGGGCAACAGAGGGAACATACCAGACCTCAGTAATCTGGCCCTTCCCCAGCGGGCCAGCGAAGATTCCCTGTGCTCAATAAACGTCCTCCACATACAACCACATACAACCTTACTACATCTGCAGGAGACCCTGTGAGGGCCAGGGGTCAGACTCTCCTCCCTCGCCCCTCCAGTGCCCCACGGCACGCTCCCCTCCATTCCCCCTTGGAGTCCTTGATTCCTCCAGCTCTCTTTCAGGGCCCCCTACTCGGAACTCC